GCCCAGCGAGATGCTGCAGGGGACGTCAGCCAGGACCCTGAGGCTGGAGCTGAACAGTCCACCCAGGAGTCTGGGACAGCTGCCCAGCCCCGCCCTGCTCCAGGTGAGTCAGCTCATGGAGGCAAGTCAGTGCCTGCCATGCACCCAGGGGCTCTGGGAAGAGCACAGAGGCTCACACGCGAGCGACCAGCAGGGATGGTTCTTGATGGCTCTGCTGACAAAATACATCCTAGCCTCCTCCTGGAGAGAAATACTCTCCACACCAGCCTGGAAGGCCAGGGGAGGCCTAGGACCCCTGAGCTCCAGAGTGTGGGAGCCTTTCTCGTCCACACTCCAGACCCTCCCCTGCCACCAGCATCTCCCGGGCTCCCGCCCGCCCAAGTTGGGGTGCTCTCCTCATAGGGTTGGACCCAGGAACAGGGTTGGGGCGAGTATGGGGTCTCAGGAACCCAGGGAACAATCTGAAGGGGAAAAGGGACATGAGTCTGGCGGGGGGGACCCCAAGAGTGTGGGCCTGGCAGGGCCCCCTTTTGCCCAGGTCTTCTGCTGGCACTGAGAGGCTCAGACCCCAAGGAGGAGGTGTCCAACTGTCGCTAACGGTTACATCCAGAAAGCTCCCCAGGTTGAGAGAGTGGAGGAAACGGACTAACCCCAGCCCTTGTCCGGGCGGACTCCGGGGAGCGACACAGACGCCGCCCACCCGGCTACCAGGAGAGAAAAACCTAAGCTCGGGGTGCACACGTGCATTGTGCGTGTGTGTGAGTGTGTGTGCACGTGTGTGTGCGCCGGTGCGAGTGTGTGGAGCGTGTGATTTCTCCGCCAAGTCCTGCCCCCTGGGCCCTGGGCCCTTGCCAAGCTGTCTGTCACCAGCCGTCTAGGCCCTGCGCTCCGTGGCCCAGGCAGGTGCTCCGCACTGACTTCGCTGTGAGCCTGCAGGCGGGTCCGGGGCCCCTCCCGGGCCGGGCCCTGGCGCCGGGGCCTGTCCCTCTCCGGCCATAGCACAGGCGCTAACGCTCCTCGCGGACGTCTCTCGCTTACTGCTCCCACATGCTTCCGGTCGGGTCCGCTGCGTGCTTGGACCTGAACTCACTTCAGTGCCCTTAACACTAACGCCAGGACCATCGTCTGCTCACCAGACAGACCCGTCGCCCACACGGGGTGAAGGAGAAGGAGACGCGGCCCCTGGCAGCACCCAGGACTTTCCCACGAGGACATAACCGGACGCTCACTTGCTCCAGGCCGAGGTGGAAGTCGGGAGAAGGACACAAAGCACTTGCGTTAACTCTGGAAGGACTGCGTTATTTTCTGAAAATAAAGGACCTGGTGGTGGATTTACGAACGGCGATTACCGCGTACAGCGTTTGGGAGAGACTCGTGAGTTGCAGCAGAGGGAGAGCGATGCGCGTGCATGACAGCCTCTGGGTGGGGAGGCCCCGCGCGCCCGAAAGGGAAGATGCTTTCACATGGAGATGTTGGGGCTGGGGTTGTGTGTCAGAGGGGCTTCTAGAAACATGACTGTAGAGGAGGTGGTTTTAAGTGGTGTGTGCTGTAGCCCCCTAAGGCAGGTTCATGGGCAGGGCAGGGAAAGACGGGGTATTTAATTAGGAACGTACCTTATTTCATTTTCCATTTAGTGCTGAACACTTCCAAGGTCTACCAGTTGACTATTTAAGACAAAATCGGCAACCACCACCTACTTAGCCCATGATTCCGTGGGCTGGCAGGTGGAGCTGGGCTCAGCCGACTGCTTTGCCTGCCTCACCCGCTGTATTATTCTCCTGGGGCTGCCATAGCAAAGTGCCACGGCCTGGGAGGCCTTAAGCAACAAAAATGTATTTTCGCACATTCTGGAGGCTGAAGACCCAGTCGTCAGCAGGGCTGGTTTCTTCGCATGCCTCTCTCTTCGGCTGGCAGTCGGCCATCTCCTCCCCGAGTCCTGCAGGGGCTTATCCCTGCCCATGTCTGTGTCCTCACCTCCTCTCACCGTAAGGACACAGGTCAGATTGGATTAGGGTCCGCCTTAAAGACCTCATTTTAATTTACTCACTTTTTAAAGACCTCACCCCCAAACGGATTATGGGGTCATGTTTACACTGTAGCAATACCCAGTTCTGTAGCTTCCAGGATTTCTGCATGACCCCCCTCCCCCACCATCTAAGCTCTTTGCCCACTTATTTCACCCCATGACTGGGATCTGCAGTGGGGACCACTGTTTTCTGAGGTGAGGTTATTATCCAGGGACAATAAACCCCTTTCTCCACGATGTTTTTCACGTTTCCTTTCAAAATTCCTCCCACGGCTTCGAAACGGAACACACTGACTGCAGCTCTTATTCAAACCGCTGCTGTCCAGGGAGAAAGACCCTCCTCCCAACTTTCAGATCCATGTGTTTTTTTAACATATGACGTATGGGATACATACATATGATTCAAATAGTACAAAGAAATTAAGAGAAATTTTTTTCTAAAACTCAAAATGTTAAGAAAAGTATGGAATACCACAACGATCCCTCCCCAACCAGAAACAGCCTCTGCTCCCATTTCTGTGCATGATTTCAATTATATACCCTTTTTCCTAGTAGATGAGAGTCCTGCTCTAAATATGTACCAGTTGTGACATATTCCCTCGGCAGAGCAGTTTGGAAACAGGGGATCTGGGGAGTGGGCATCAATATAAAGGGGGGGTGCAGAAGGGGAGCGGAAGCGGGACTCTGACACTGAGATTTGGGGACAGGAAGCTGAAGGAAAGGAAACCCAGACCTCAGAACTGCACCTTTCTGCCGGCGGAGAGGAAGGAGACGCAGGTTCACCGGGGTTTTGATCCGCGGTAGTTTAGGGTCTGAAAAGGAAAGAGCACAAGACGATCAGAATTCGCCATGTGGTGAGAAACCCAGAAATGCACTGGAAAGTGAAATTGGGTGTAGGTGGGGGAGGGAAGTCTCTTGGGATTAAAAAAAACAAACAAAAAACAAAAAACACATTACCTTCAGTGAAATAAAGCATTTTAGAAGAATCACATCAGAACTGTAGGGAAGGAAAGATGTCTGACTTCTTGGTTTTATTTTGGTAAATGGAAAATAATCATAAGAGTTTTCTAGATTCACCTGGGAACACGACGATCTAATTTTTCCTTCACGGGGTGAGTGCTCCAGCTGTGGCCGGTTCTGCCGCCGGGCCCCCGAGTGAAGCAAGTGGGAAGGGCGAACGCCCTTGGCTCAAGGACGGGGCTGGAAAACTCTCCCCCAAATAAAAAGAAATAGTTTGGCCAAGTGTTTGTTTTAGGAGTTCAAGACCTCAACTTCATCGTCATCGGCTTCATCATGCCTTAAATTATACTATATATAGTGTGTATGCACACACGCGCGCGTATGCGTGTACACACACACACAGCCACTGCAGCCAC